TTTAGTCACAACTAGGGGAAGGGCATGTGCTACTGATGTCTAAGGAGCACGGTGCAGGGATCCTGCTAAGTATCTTCCAATGCAGAGGACACGCCACCATAACAAGGAATCATCCAACCAAACACGTCAATTGTACCAAGGTTGAAAAACCCTGGTGTGGTAGACAGAATGCCTCCCAAAAGTGGTCAAGTCCTAATTCCTGGAACCAGTAAATATGTTTCCTCATATGACACAAGGAGTCTGCATGTGTGATTAAATTACAGATTTTGAGATGGGAGATTATCCTGCATTGTCCTGGTGGGCTCATTGTAATCACAAGGGTCCTTACAAAAGGCAGGCAGGAGGGTCAAAGGCAGAAAAGCTGACATGACAACAGAAGCAGAGTTAGTGACAGGGGTGTGGTCATGCTCTGCTGATGCCTTTGAAGAAGGATGAAGAAGCCATCATCCAAGGAACACTGGTGACCTCAGCTAGCCAGAAAGGGCAAATAAACTGATTTTCCCTGATTCCCTCCAGAGGAAATCAGACCTACTGACTCTTTGACTCCAGCCCAGTGAGGCTGATGCTGAGCTTTTGACCTGCAGGACAGTAAGAGAAGAAATCTGTGTTATTGTAAGCCACTGACTTTGTGGTACTTTGTTACAGCAGCAATAGGAAACTAATATATCTGGTTTAGAGGATGAATAGGAGAAGCAAATCCTGAAACAAGATACGCGGTAAGGAGGTTTAACCGTGAGGAGTAACAATGTTGCCAGACACTTATCACTGGAGCTACAGCAGTGATCAGTACAGAAAATAGTCATAACAATAATAAGTCCTGCTCTCTTCAAGTATATAAGCTACTGAATGGTATGAGCTTTTGTCATCCTCTAGAAAATAATCTCCTGTATAACGCTGATTTCTTTTTTTTTTTTTTTTAAGAGATGGGGTTTCACCATGTTGGCCAGGTTGCTCTCAAACTGCTGACCTCAGGTGATCCGCCTGCCTCAGCCTCCCAAAGTGTTGGGATTACAAGCGTGATCCACCTCCCCCGGCTATGCTGATTTCTTTTCCTCCTCCATCATATATCAGCTATTTTTTCTATCCTGAACATAAATTTTTACTTTTGATTTATTAAGATTTATCAACATCTTATACTATGATTTATTCTTTCCCCCCAAATCCAAGGTTATACCAATGTCATAAAAATATTTTCATACATGCTGTTTTAATAAACATTATAGTTTTATTATGCTAGATTGATTGTTGTTTCCAGTGAATCCCTTACCTTGCTTCCTCATAGCAGTTTAGTTAATGCTGTCATTGATGGATTTTTCTCTAGAGGATAAGACTTCACCACACCGTTGTCAGATCATTTGACCACCTTTAGTCAATTGAATGTGGGTTCCCTTATCTGATCACAGATTTGTGAGTGACAAATAAAATGTTTATTTTTAGGCCAGGCGTGATGGCTCACACCTATAATCTCAGCACTTTGGGAAGCCGAGGTGGGTGGATCACTTGAGGTCAGGAGTTTGAGACCAACCTGGCCAGTCTGGTGAAATCTCGTCTCTATTAAAAATATAAAAATTAGCTGGGCATGGTGATGGGCACCTGTAATCCCAGCTACTCAGGAGGCTGAAGCAGGAGAATCACTTGAACCTGGCTGGTAGAGTTTGCAGTTAGCCGAGATTATACCACTGCACTCTAGCCTGGGTGACAGAGCAAGACTCCATCTCAAAAAAACAAAAACAAAAACAAAAAACAGTTTATTTTTGGAAGCCACTGACTGAGACTTTGGGATGATTTCTTACACAGGAAACCTATAAAACTTTGACTAAATCTTTTATGTTTTACATTTAGGTCTTTTATCCATGATGCTATCGTTATGTGCAAAATTCACATTTAGATATGTCTGTTTGTTCTTTCTCTTTAGTTTCATTGATCTATCTGTTCTTGCCCCAGTTCAATACTATTTTTATTACTGTGGTATTATAATATGTCTTCATATCTTGGAAAGTGAGTTCCCACTTTTAGTCTTTTCTTTTTCAAAATTATATTAGCTTTGTATGAGTGTTTAAACTTCCAAGTTATATTTAGAATCAGTTTCATATTCCTCCTGAAATTCTTCTGAGATTTTAATTACAAATACATTAAATTTATAGATAAGCTTAAGAAAAAATTAATAGCTTACAATGTTAATGTGTCTTCTTTTATTAAGGCCTCATTGGATTAACTTTAGTAATTTTATAAATTTCTCTGTGAAGGTAGTGTGCTTTCTTTATTGGCTTAATTCCTAGTTATTGCATAGATTGATATGTTGAGTGGTATTTTATTTTCTATTGTATTTTTAGTTTTTTCTTTTACTGTGTAAGACACTGGACTGCAATGTGAAATGTGTGCAGTCAGGAAACAGAAAAACATATTAGCATTTCTATATAGTTTTTAATTTTTTTCTTTTTAAAAATATTTTAATTTTAAGGCAAGTAGTTCCTAATGGATTAATAACTTAGCTCTATGCTCGTAATAATAGATAATATTTATGAGGCACTGACTTTGTACTATGAAAATTTAAGTGCTATTTTAGTATTATTTGCTTAATCCTTGCAGTATCCCAAGTGATATTATTGTTCTCATTTTACAAATGAGAAAGCTGAGGCAGAGAATGGATATATAACTTGTCTAAATTCATACAGATAATGATACAACCAAGATTTGAGTGAAGGCAATCTTGTTCTTGTTACACCCCCAATGGATTCTTCTTGCCCGCTGCACAGATAAAACCAATGTACTGAGACAGCAGTGATGCAGCAGAGAAACAGTTTATTATTGCAAGGCAGTTGAGAGGAAGGTTAGGAGATGTTTCTCATATTTGCCTCACCAACAGCTTGGAGCTTAGGGTTTTTAAGTATAATTTAGTGGGCAAGGGGCTACAGAATGGGTGCTGCTGTTTGGTTGGGGTGAAATAATCAGAGCATCCAAATTGTCTTCTTGTGCTGAGTCAGTTTCTGGGTATGAATCACAGGTCCAGGTGGCATCAGTTGGTCTGCCCAAATGTAAAAGTCTGAAAAACATCTCAAAAACCAATCTTAGGTTTTTATAATAGTAATGTTATCTATCGGAGCAATTGGGGAAGTTAATGTCCCTACAAGGGACATTAACATATCGTTTTTATGGCTGCATAGTATTCTATTTTATTAGATCCACTAATTTGGTCTTTCTCTTGGGTTTTGTATGTAGCATCTACAAACAATGGCAGTTTCACAGTCTCATCTTTTCCTTCCCAATTATTATTATTATTATTATTATTATTTTGAGACAACGTTGAATTCCCAGTTGGTGTCTGGAGAATCAGACAATTGGTTGATGTGTGGAAGAAACCACCACATTTGGTGCCAAAAATATTCTGTGTATAGAAACAGATCATAAGACAAGTAAAGGACATCTCATTTGCTCCTAGTTTTCCTAGTTTTTGTTGTTGTTGTTTTGAATTAAATAAGTGGAAAATTATATTAAATGCTTTATCTACATCTATTGAGATAATTAATTGTTCTCCACTATAGTAGTCTACTACTATAATGAATTACATTGATAAAGCTTTGATCAGTAATCCTTTCTAGTGTTCCTAGAATAAACTCTACCTATTCACATTGTATTCTTCTTTTTTTTTTTTTTTGAGTTTCGCTCTTGTTACGCAGGCTGGAGTACAATCGCGCGATCTTGGCTCACTGCAACCTCCACCTCCTGGGTTCAAGCAATTCTCCTGCCTCAGCCTCCCAAGTAGCTGGGACTACAGGTGTGGGCCACCATGACTAGCTAATTTTTTTATTTTTAGTAGAGACGGGGTTTCACCTTGTTGACCAAGATGGTCTCGATCTCTTGACCTTGTGATCTACCCATCTCAGCCTCCCAAAGTGCTGGGATTATAGGCATGAGCCACCGTGCCCTGCCACATTGTATTATTCTCAATATATTTTGTATTTATTTGGCTAATATTTTATTTAGTATTTTCCCATCTCTGTTTAGAAGTGAACTATTTTTCTTTTTCTTTTATATTGTCCTTATCCGATTTTAATACAGGGCACTACTGCTATAAAATGGCATGTACGATCTCTTTCTTATTCTGTATTTTTGTTTGTTTGTTTGTTTTTGGAAACGAAGTTTCACTCTTGTTGCCCAAGCTGGCGTGCAGTGGTGTGATCTCGCCAATCTGCGCCTCCCGAGTTCAAGTGATTCTCCTGCCTCAGCCTCCCGAGTAGCTGGGATTACAGGCACCTGCCACCACACCTGGCCATTTTTTTTGTATTTTTAGTAGAGACAGAGTTTCACCATGTTGGTGAGGCTGGTCTCAAACTCTTGACCTCAGGTGATCTGCTGGCTTTGCCTCAGCCTCCAAAGGTGCTGGGATTACAGGCGTGAGCCAGCACTCCAGGCCTCTTGTCTTTTTCTGGAAGATCTTTTTTAAGATGTAGATTATCTACTTTTTAAACTTCCATTTATCAAACTTTAAAAGGCTCTACTTCAACTAAGTATTAGGTATTTAATTACCAAGGGTGAAAAGGAGGGGTACCAAAGCTGTACTGTGGCATTCTCTAGAGGAAGCTGATTTAGTCAGTTAAAGATTTTCTGTAATTCATCATAAAATATGAACTTTAAAGCTTCACAGAAGAATTATAAAATTCGTAGTATTTGGGCCATTTTGGAAGAGGATTAAGAACATTAGCACTTCTGTATATTTGCCTCATTTGACGTTGTTTTGATTGCCAACCACTTTCGAAGACAGTTTCCCCCTAAATTCCTGTCAGATTATTAATGCAAAAAATTAAAATAACTATGTCAATATAAGCTATGATTTGATGGGCAAATTGAAAGATAAAAAGAGATGAGGTTCCGGAAAGCGATTACTATAAAAGTTAGGTTTCTAGTGAGGGCTGCATTTGTTCCAGGGAGAAGCAATATCAAGCTAACCATTCTTTTCAAAAAAAATTTTAAGCAATTTAAAACATTATTTTTTACTTTTATTTTGAGACAGAGTCTTGCTCTGTCACACAGGCTGGAGTGCAGTGACACGATCATAGTTCAATGCAGCCTCTATCTCTGAGACTCACCTTACCTCAATCCTGAGGTGGGAAGATTGTTGAGCCTGAGAGTTTGAACCTGCATTGAAGTATGATTAGCCTCCTGAGTAGCTGATGCCATATGTCACAATGCCTGGCTAATTAAAAACAATTTTTTTTTTTTTGTAGACATGGGGTCTTACTATGTCACTCAGGCTGATCTCAAACTCCTGGGCTCAAGCAATTCTGTCTCAGTCTCTCAAAGTGCTGGGATTACAAGCCACCGTTCCTGGCTTAATTATTCTTTAAAAATCAGAATTTGTACTTGAGGTAAAGGGGCCACTATTATGTGCATTGATAGAGTATGAATGTGGAGGAAGTGTTTAGTAAGGAATTCCCCTCAAGAAACAAAAACTGAGAACAGAAATATTACCAATTTCATCTCAGGCAGGGACAATCATGTTAGACCAAGGACCAAAAGTTTTGAAATCGTTTTGCATGCAGATTCATTGTTGCTATTTTTTAGTGATCGTCAGTTGACATCATGAATAGCTGCAAAACTGTTAAGATTTGAACGACCCATGTGCTTGTTTTTAGGGACAGCAAGCCATTTGGAGATATGGAACCAAGGGACAGAGTAGGAAGTGGCAGCTGACAGGTAGAACAGACACTAAGTTAAGACCTGGCTGCTGCAAAGCAGAAGAGGAAACAGAAAGTCTTCTGCCTAAGAATGGACCTGGAGTTTCAAAAAACAGAAATGCTTGAATGATGTCTTTATGCCACATTATCTACTCTGTGGATGTTCCAAGTCAGCTTGATTGTTTTAAGGCATGATTTGAAGCAAGGTAATGCTGAAATTGATCGCTGTGTAATGACAGCAACAGATGGACCTTGCTAGCATGAAGCAATCAAAGGTGTGCAAAGTTTCAGCAAAATACTCAATCCTGAGCTTGACAGACCATATAGAAGCAGGTTATATCATTAACTAAAGGTCAGATATAAATATAGTGAGCTCGTTTAAGACAGCTGGGCACACTAGCCTTCTCAATCATATTTACACACCTGGGAGATAACTTGTCAGCTCTATGTGTATTTATCCCTACCTATCTAACAGCACAAGTACAACTTTCAGGAGGTGACTAAATCTAGTCTATTGTATCATGTCTTAATGAGAACACAGTAGTTATAATGTCATAAATGGATTTATATGCCTTTTTTTTTTTCTTTGAGAGGGAGTCTCGCTCTGTCATCCAGGCTGGAGTGCAGTGGCTCGATCTTGGCTCACTGTAACCTCTACCTCCCACATTCCAGCCATTCTTCTGCCTCAGCCTCCGGAGTAGCTGGGACTACAGGTGCATGCCACCACCCCTGGTTAATTTTTTTTTAATTTTTTATTTTTTAGTATAGATGGGGTTTCACCATATTGGCCAGGCTGGTCTCCAACTCCTGACCTCATGATCTGCCCGCCTCGGCCTCCCAAAGTGCTGGGATTACAGGCGTGAGCCACCAAGCCGGGCCGGATTTATGTTTCTGTGGAACAGAAGGTCAGTTTCAGTAGCCAAATAAAAGATCACTCACTTCTTGCCCAAAGTTTTAGTCACCCACCAAAATCAACAGTAAAACTCGATTGTATAAAATTTGTACAAGTCTTGAAACCCATTTTTTTTAAAGACAAGAATTATATTTTGAAAGTGTTCATCTTATGCAGACGGGGTTCATAGTTTATACATTAAACCTCAACAAAAATTCCTTGGCATTTTTTATATAATTATTATTGGCTTGTAACAAATTTGAACTACTGATTAGCCATAGTAGGTTCTATTTTGATTTTTTCATCTTTTAGGCTTGAAAGGGTTATCAGATCTAAATCTATCCAGCATTTAAAATTCAAGACTTTTTGCTTACTTGCTAAATACCAATACCTAGATTTTTTTCTTTTCCACTGGTTTCATTTGTGAAGCAATTGGAAAATGCTAAGGGAGGGGTGTGTGTGTGTGTGTGCATGTGTGTGTATGTATGCATGTGCATACATGGACATGTTTTATAGTCCTTCAGGGACAAGCACTCACCTTTACAAAATATTCTAATTTTGATTAGCAAAGCTGAGAAACATGCCATTCTTTTCATTTATTAATGCTGCATTGGGGAATCCTGAGCCACATCCTAGATGCTGGCTGGAATTACTGTCTATCTTTGATGTGGAAGTTTGCATCAGTAGACATTTATGTGACAGCTTGATTATAAAAGGTTTTCATTACTTCTTCAGCACATGCATGTTAGAACTTGATTCCAAGGTTGAGTACTAATGTGAAAGGGATTAGCACTGCATATTGGAAACTCAAAACTCCCCCTAAGAAAAGAGTTAAGCATAACTTCAGCTCAGACAGAAAAGGCCAAAGCAGTTACAGAAACATATTTGCAGAGATTCCAGATATAAAAATAATTCCGTAGAAATTTCACCTTGGGAATGTCTTTCAAACTATGTAAGAAGTTGAATTGTTTTATAAAAGGGCAGTCAACCATGTTCTTCAGGATAGCTTGGATTTAGTGTCTCATTTTAGAGAAAGTAGGAATATTTCAAAGAAAGAAAAACACTGCTCAGATGATTTCTTATTACCAAAATGATGCATAATGGGAGGAAGTCTGCACTGAATTCTTTGCATGATAACATAGTAACTTTTGAAGTGTATACTTCAGAGAAATGATTCTAGAAGAGGGGAACGGAAAAATGTACCTCACGCAGAAGTTTGAGTTTGGCTTCTGATAGAGTAATGAATTTCCTAAGACTTTCTCTTTTGGTATTAGTTAGAGATTATGTTCTCGCGACTATAACAGCAACACAACTTTGTTAGCTTAACCATGTAGAAGTTTCTTTTTCTCATATACAAAGTCTGGATATAAGGAAGTGAGGTTGGCATAGTGGCCTCATGAGGTCATCAGTATCCTGGACTTAATTCATCTTTTACTCCTTCCTCTCATGATTACTTTATGGTTGCAAGGTGTTATTCTCCATCACTAATCTCCTTTCTCTATTCCAGGCAGGAAGAAGAAGAAAGTTATGAGGCAGAAGGATAGGAGCCCATGTCAGAGAGACAGAATAGCAGAGGAACTCCTGACAGAGTTCAGTTAATTTTATTGACTGAACCATAGATGGGCAGCCTTTGCTGAAACACAGCCTGAGAAATAGGTGTGGGTTTTTGTTTTGGTTTTGGTTGCATTGCTAATAAAATAAAATGAGGGTTCTTTTAGTAAAAACAGAGGGAGGATTCTTTTAGTGGAAACAAAAGAGGGAATGGGTATTGAGTGGCCAGTCAGCATGTTATACTGCATCTTACTTCAAGGTATTCATCAGCATCCATTCTGATGTTTGGCAGTTGCCTGTGACATCCCGATTGTTAGTTATTTTTTACACAATACCTTCTATCCCTATTTCACTTAATTAGAAGTAGATTCTAGGCCTGGCGTGGTGGCTCACGCCTGTAATCCCAGCACTTTGGGAGGCCAAGGCAGGTGGATCATGAGATCAAGAGATCGAGACCATCCTGGTCAACATGGTGAAACCCCGTCTCTACTAAAAATACAAAACATGGAGAGAGATCCAAGATAGCTGATCACTAGCAGCTCGGGATTGTAGCTCCCACTGAAAGAGCAGAGAACGAGAGGACGCCACGCTTTCAGATCAATTTTTGTTGCTCAGGCACCAGGAGATTCCCAGCGGAGGAGCCCCACATGTCGCCAGTGTGACTCTTGAGGCCGGTGAGGAGGTTTTGCTGCTGCCTTGGAGCGGCAGTTCTCAGTGCGGAGTCAAAAAAGCACCATCAATCTTAAAGTCGCTGTTTTGGCCGGAACAGTGGGTTGCTCAGATTCTAGCGCCGGGAATCAACAAGTTGGACGTCCATTCAGAAACCCAACTATAAAGACGGTAATTATAAAGGCCACAGATGGATAAACCTATAAAGAAGGGAAGAAAACAGCCTAAAAAGGCTGAGAATACCCAAACTCAGAACGCCTCTCCCTCTACAGGTGATCACAGTTCCTCATCAGCAACAGAACAAGGCCTGATGGAGAAAGACTGTGTTCCATTAGCAGAAACAGACTTTAAAAAGTGGATGATAAGAAACTTCTGGGAATTAAAAGAACTTGTTCTAACCCAATGCAAAGAAACTAAGAACTTTGAAAAAAGGTTTGATGAAATGTTAAAAATAACACACAATTTAGAGAGGAATATAAGTGAATTAATGGAGCTGAAAAACACAACACAAGAACTTCGCGAACTATGCACAAGTTTTAACAGCCGAATTGATCAAGCAGAAGAAAAGATATTAGAGGTCGAAGACCAACTTTATGAAATAAAACAAAAAGACAAGATTAGAGAAAAAAGGATAAAAAAGAACGAGCAAAGTCTCCAAGAAATATGGGACTATGTGAAAAGACCTAATCTACGTTTGATAGGCGTACCTGAATGTGACGAAGAGAATCAATCCAAGCTGGAAAATATGCTTCAGGATATTATTCAGGAAAACTTTCCCAACCTAGCAAGGCAGGACAATATTCAACTCCAGGTAATACAGAGAACACCACAAAGATATTCCTCAAGAAGACCAACCTCAAGGCACATAATCGCCAGATTCACCAGGGTTGAAATGAAAGAGAAAATACTGAGGGCAGCCAGAGAGAAAGGTCGGGTTACCCATAAAGGGAAGCCCATTAGACTCACAGCAGATCTCTCAGCAGAAACCCTACAAGACAGAAGAGAGTGGGGGCCAATATTCAACATCCTAAAAGAAAAGAACTTTCAACGCAGAATTTTACATCCAGCCAAACTAAGCTTTATAAGCGAAGGAAAAATAAAATCTTTAGTGAACAAGCAAGCACTCAGAGATTTCATCACCACCAGGCCTGCTTTACAAGAAGTTCTGAAAGAACCACTACAAATAGAAAGGAACAACCAGTATCAGCCTTTCTAAAAAATGCCAAAAAATAAAGAACATCAACATAATTAAGAAATTGCATCAATTAATGGGCAAAACAGCCAGCCAACATTAAATGACAGCATCAAACTCATATATATTGTTATTAATTCTAAATTTAAATCGACTAATCCCCCAATCCAAAGACACAGACGGGCAAAAAAAGCCAAGACCCATTGGTATGCTACATCCAGATACATCTTACATGCAAGGATACACAAAGACTCAAAACAAAGGGATGGAGAAAAATTTACCAACCAAATGGAGAGCAAAAATAAATAAATAGAAAGCAGGAGTTGCAATTTTTGCTGATAAAATAGACTTTAAAGCAACAAAGATCAAAAGAAGCAAAGAAGGATATTACATAAAGATAAAAGGATCAATGTAACAAGAAGAGCTAAAGATCCTAAATATATATGCACCCAATACAGAAATACCCAGATATATAAGACTTATAAAGAGACTTGGACTCCCACACAATAATAGTGGGAGACTTACAGATCAATGAGACAGAAAGTTAACATTGATATTCAGGACTTGAACTCAGATCCAGAACAAGTAGACTTAATTAACGTTCATAGAACTCTCCACTTTAAATACACAAAATATACACTCTTATCAGTACTACATCACACGTATTTACGGGTTTAAATGAAATGTTGGTTGGCTGCTTGTTAATTATTTTCTTCCCTCTTTTTTTTTTATGTGTCTATTATTAAACATAATTACAGGTATACCCATTTTTAGACTGCATTTTAGCCTGGGCAATAAAGGAACACCCCTGTTCTCTCTCCCTCTTCCTCTTCCTCTTTCTTCCTTTCCTTTATTCTTTTTTTTTCTTTTTCTTTTTCTTTTTCTTTCTTTCTCTCTTTCTTCCTCTAAAAAAAAAAAAAATACAAAACATTAGCTGGGCATGGTGGCGCACACCTGTAATCCCAGCTACTCAGGAGGCTGAGGCAGGAGAATTGCCTGAATCCAGGAGGCAGAGGTTGCGGTGAGCCCAGATCGCGCCATTGCACTCCAGCCTGGGTAACAAGAGTGAAACTCCATCTCAAAAAAAAAAAAAAGAAAAAGAAAAAAAGAAGTAGATTCTGTGTAAAATAGCTTTAGTGCAGAGTTTATGTTCTCGGGAAATAATGACATACTGAGAGCTTGTTGATGAAGTGGTTAGTCTTTCACAGTGTTTCAGAATAATAACAAAACCCTAATTATTCAGACATACAGAAAGGCTAAGAAGGTGTGTTAGACTGGCAACACTGGGTAAGAACTCAAAAGCAAGTATGATGTCATTCTTCATATGGCTGCCCTGAGAGGTAAGCCTGAAGGATGTACAATGTGGATACCAAAAGTACCTAAAGTAAAAACTGGTGGAACTAACGGGAGATACAGACAAGTCTAATGGAGATATGAACCCCTTTTGTCAAGTGCATATGGTACAACCTCCAGGATAAACCATATGTTGGAAAATGAAACATGTAAGAGGCTTGATATTATAAACTATGTTCACTGGTAATAACAGACTTAAATTAGAAATCAACAACATAAGGTATTTAGAAAAGCCAAAACATTTGAAAAGTAAAGAATTGCCTTTTAAATATCAGATGGGTCAAATAAAACAATTACAATTAAATAAAAACTTAATTTGAGTCAAATTATAACACAAATACAGCCTATGAAAATTTGAGGGGTATTGCTAAAGCAATACTTAAAAGGAAAATTCTAAAACTGAATAAGCAAAATGATTTAAAATCACTATAAATTTCTACTTCAATAAGGTAGAAAAAGGTAAGCATTTGAACCCAAATATATAAAAAGACACAAAAACAATAAAGATAAGGGTAGAAATAAGAAATATAAAACAAACAAGGGGGAAAATTGACAAAGCCAAAGGTTGCTTCTGTGAAAAGATGAATAAAACTGATAAAACTATAGCTAGATTGGTAAATTCCAAAAAGTTAAAAAGAAAATCAAAACTACTACTTTCGGGAATTTTTGTTCAGATAATATGGATATTAAAAGGATAATTATGAACTACTATGAACTTTTTGCCAATCTGTATGACAATTTAAGATAAAATAGACAAATTCCTTGAAAAACACCAGTTATCAAAACTCAGGCAATAGAAAATCTGAATAGCCCTATAATAACAGAGTTGAATTTATCATTACAGTCTTTCCACAAATAAAACTTGAGTCTTTATTTATTCATTTTTTTGGAGACAGGGTCTTGCTCTGTTGCCCGTGCTGGTGTGCAATAGCACAACCTCAGCTCATTGCAGCTTCAACCTCCCAGACAAAAGTGATCCTCCCACCTCAACCTCCCAAGTAGTTGGGACTACAGGAGATGCCACCACATCTAGCTAACTTTTTTAAGAGATGAAGTCACACTCTGTTGCCAGGCTAGTCTTGAACTCTGGGACTCAAGCATTCTTCCCACTTCAGCCTCCAGAAGTGCTGAGATTACACATGTCAGCCACTGCACCTGGCCAAAGCTTGAATCTTAAATGGTCAATTTAAGACTTTATTGGTCAATTCTGTCAAACATTTGACCAATGTCAAACATTCTTTGTTGGTCAATTCTGTCAAACATTTAAGAAAGAATGCAAATCTTACGTATAGTTTCACATAAAATAAAAAAGGAGGCAATAATTTCCAATGTTTTCTATGAGGTCTGTGTCAGGCTTAGGATTTGATTTTACCCTAGTTAGAAGCTATTATCTAGTATGTTACTGTTTCATAGAGTCTGGCAGAAAACATAAGACTCAACCTCATGAACATATTTGTGTCTATTCACTTTGTTCTCCAGTCACACAGGGGTGACCCAAAGGGTCCAGATGGATGCCAGTTCATGCAATGTATTACATGACAGGAGAGCTATTCTGTACTTAAAAAATCCACCAACTTGCATCTATCTAGTGATAAAGAAATTTGATTGAGAATTAGGAAACATGATTTTGGTTTTAGTTTAGCTATTGATGCATTCTCACCTAAGGACAAGCCATCTGTGTTTTGTGGTCTCAGGTTCATTATTCGTGAAATCAGAAGGTTTGGACAAAGGAATTTTTCGTTCCTCTCATCTCCAACTCTAAGAAGAGTTTAATTTGTGTCTACAAATGTGAATTAAGGAGGTTTGATAAAGATAGCCTTAAATTATTTTATGTACTAGAACTCCTCCCATCAGCATTTTCCCTGAAAATGTCAATTCTTCCCTACCCTATGATTCATACATAATCCATGGATCTTAAACTTCCTGACATTTTTACTTAGTGTTTCAGATTTGTATTTCTCATTCTATAGCTTTCTTTTCATATCCATTTAAAAACTACCCTGATGATGAGAAAACATCTAATAAATAATCCTGAGTATTTATATGTGTATGCAAATGTCTAGCAAATATGGAGATACGTGTACACATGAATATGTATATGTATGTGCATATATGTGTTTATGTGCATGTGTATACACTGATAAGTAATACTAGTACAATAACTAGTTACTTTTTTTTTTTTTCAATTTAATGTGTAGCTTTGATCTTAAAAAGCTGACATTTTCAGCCAGGTGCAGTGGCTCACACCTGTAATCCCAGCACTTTGGGAGGCCGAGACTGGTGGATCAAGAGGTCAGGGGTTCAAAACCAGACTGACCAACATTGTGAACTCCCATCTCTACTAAAAGTACAAAAATTAGCTGGGCATGGTGGTACCTTCCTGTAATCCCAGCTAATGGGGAGGCTGAGGCAGGAAAATTGCTTGCACTGGGACCCGGGAGGCGGAGGTTGCAGTGAGCTGAGATTGTGCCACTGTAGTTCAGCCTGAGCTACAGAGTAAAACTCTGTCTCAAAAAAAAAAAAAAAAAAAAAAAGCCGACATTTAGTTCCTAGCTACTTTTGCTACTATTAGAACAGTGTCACCAGGTTACAGAGGAACACTGGTCATAGGCATCGAGCTAACAATCTGTATTTTCTTCTAAAATTTAGATTTTCTAACCATGAATTCTTCTGAACATTGACAATAAAAAGTGGTATATCGCTAACTAGAATCAAATGGAATCAAATACATATTTTTTACTTAAACCTTAATGTCTAAAGTTTAAGGAAACAAATGGCTCTTGTCTAATTCAAGATTTTTATTACTAGTTTATTTAATCCAGTTCAGACATTATTTATTGAATACACTATAGAGTTAAGTCTACTGGACTCCAGCTTGAAACCAAAAGATATCTTTCCAGTAATTATTTTGAAACTTTGTCCTCATGCATTTTTCAAATTGTGTTCCATAGAATATTTGAAAATAATATTAAAAAAGAAATATTTATGAAACATTGGGTTAAAGTTTTTAAAAAATAAAGTGTTTTCCTCTATGTGAACTTCTAAGGATCTTCATGCACTATGGCTCATTGTGGACTTCCAAGGGAAAGTATGGAACACTGTTTCCCAAATCTATTTGATCCCTGAAATTTATTTCAAAAAAAAAACACACTCTGGAAATGCCATTTGAGGCTCTTCAGCATTAAGTCTTGTGATTATTTTACAGAGGTCACAGAAAGTCTGCCTAAATTTTACAAGGCTCTTAATTTGCCCTTTTCCATATTGATCAGTGAAGGCATTGTATTGCTTTGACTCCACTGTACTTTTTTTCTCATTCAACTAGATAAGATAGAGAGACATAAGGCTGTGGATAAGAGAACACTGGACCTACTTAACAGGAGCTTGAAGCCACAGAGGGACAGGCAGATTAAGTAACTGAGCAGGCAGGTATTTGGACAGGCCAAGAAATGGGCAGAATCAAGGCTAGTGGTGAATGCCAGCTGTCAATGCAGACATTTCCAGGAAGAAATTCAAGGCAAGATGAGTCAAAAAGGCAGGGTTGAAGCTTAATTGAATTAGTACTGGAATTGCGGAGTTTGAGTCTCAGCGCTTTGCCACAGGTAGGAATTGAGTCTTAGTTCTGCTGGATACTTGATACAAATACCTCTTTATTTTCTAACTCTGGTATCTCAGATTGTCTTTCACCTGTTACGTCCAGGTAGAATTATTTTGACTTTAAAAGACAAGGGTCTTTAAGACAATCTGCCTATTTGGGCAACACTATCTTTTAAGTAGATTTTGGGCTCAGATTGAGTCATCTGTAGAATGAAGAAGGGCGGATTCCTGGGGTCTTTGAACTTTGAAGCCAGGCCTTAACTTCTCTCTAGCTATGAAAGTCCTAGATAGCATCTTTTTCTAATGGAAGGCTGTTTCATTTACATTGAAAATCTGTTGTTTAGTGTAGTCACTTTCACCAATTATTGCAGCTAGATCTTCTGAATAACCTTCAGCAGCTTCTCCATCAGCGATTGCTGTTTCACCTTGCACTGTTACGTTATGGAGATGGCCTTTTTTCTCAAACTTCATGAACCAACAATGTCCACTGGCTTCTGACTGTTCTTCGGCAGTTTCATTATCTGTATGAGCCTTCACAAGGTTGGCTTAGGGTCTTACTCAGGCTTAGACTTTGATTTAAGGGACTATTGGGGCTGGTTTGATCTATTCAGACCACTCAAACAAACTTTCTCCAGATCAGCAATAAGGCTATTTTACTTTCTGATCATTTGTGTGTTCACGAGAGTGGTATTTCTTTTTTCTTTTTTTTTTTTTTTTGGAGACAGAGCCTGGCTCTGTCACCCAGGCTATAGTGCAGTGGCACAACCTCAGCTCACTGCAATCTCTATCTCCTGCGTTCAAGCAATTCTCCTGCCTCAGCCTCCCGAGTAGCTGGGACTACAGGTGTGTACCACCACGCCCAGGTAATTTTTTTGCATTTTTAGTAGAGACGGTGTTTTACCTTGTTGGCCAGGATGGTCGCGATCTCCCACCTTGGCCTCCCAAAGTGCTGGGATTACAGGCGTGAGCCACCGCGCCTGGCCTAGAGTGGTATTTTTAATTTCTTTCAAGAACTTTTCATTTGCATTCATATGTCTGTTTGGTTCAACAGGCCTAGCTTTTGGCCTGTCTCTGTTTTGAGCATGTCTTTCTCACTAAGCTTAATCATTTCTAGCATTTGATTTAAGTTGAGAGGCATGTGACTTTTTCACTTGAACACTTACCAGCCATTGCAGGGTTATTTATTTGCCTAATTTCAATGTTGTTTTTTCTTAAGGAATTGGAAAGCCCAAGGAGAGGGAGAGAGATTGGGGAATGGCCAGTGGGTAAAGCAGTCAGAACACACACAACATTTATTAAGTTTGTTGTCTTATATGTGCACAATTTGTGGAACCCCAAAACAATTACAGTAGTGACATAAAAGATCACTGGCCACAGATCACCATAACAGATATAATAGCCATAAAAAAGTCTGAAATATTGGCCAGGTGTGGTGACGCATGCCTGTAATCCCAGGCACTCAGAGGCTGAGGCAGGAGAATCGCTTGAAGCTGGTAGGTGGAGGTTGTGGTGAGCCAATATAGCACCACTGTACTCCAGCCTGGGCAACAAGAGTGAGACTCCACCTCAGAAAGAAAAAAAAAACGTGAAATATTGTCAGAATTACCAAAATATGACATGAATTGAGCACATGCCGTTGGAAAAATGGCATTGATAGATTTGCTTTATGAAGGGTTGCTACCAATCTTCAATTTGTAAAAAATGCAATATTTATCCAGGTGTGGTGGTGCATGCCTGTAGTTTCAGCTAGTCCAGCTGCATCAGGAGGATCACTTTAGCCCAGGAGTTTAAGGCTTCAGTAAGCTATGACTGCACCACTGCAATCCAGCCTGAGTGACAGAATGAGACCTTGTCTCTGAAAAAAGGAATAAAAGGAACGATGCATTATCTTTGAAGCACAATAAAGCAAAGCATAAAAATGGAATACGCCTTTACTGTATATAATATTATGTTTGGTTTTAAGCTATACAAATCCTGATGAACAGTGGCTTAAACACAAAAAGTGATCATTTTTCTCATGTACACATCAGGGTACAGATACGTAGTCCAGGGCTGCTGTCGCTGAAGCTCTGTAAAGTTATCAAGAATTCAAACTCCTTTTATTTCTCTACTCTGCCCTCCTCAGGGTGTTGCTGCCTTGGTGTTTGTTATAGGTTGAATGTTTGTGTACCCCCCAACAATTTTTTTTGAGACGGAGTCTCTGTTGCCCAGTCTGGAGTGCAGCGGAGCGATCTCAGCTCACTGCAAACTCTGCCTGCCAGGTTCAAGCAATTCTCCTGCCTCAGCCTCACAAGTAGCTGGGATTACAGGCGCCCACCACTTTGCTCAGCTAATTTTTGTATTTTTAATAGAGACGGGGTTTCACCATTTTGGCCAGGCTGGTCTTGAACTCCTGAACTCGTCATCCA